GAGAGAGAGAGAGGGAGCGTCGTTTGGCTTAATATATTTTTATAATATTCCAAGATCGAGTTACGTTCGAAGATAAATAAACGAAGATGGTCGCAATCGTAAAAATTTCCAGTATCTCGAGTTCTTGTTTCTATTCACATCTCTATTTATATTTCTCGAAGAAGAGATAAGTCGGGAAAAATTGCCAGGGAGTTCCGTTTCGCGAGAATATTTTTTTCTCCGGAGAGAGAAAGAGAGATGTTTATTTCGTTGAAAAAAGGAAGGAAGAAAGGAGTGTTCGACCTCCTCGAGCGTTCTATTTTAAAATCTAAGCAAAATTCAAATTTATCGGATCGGATTCGATTTTTCACATTTTTCACATCGTTCGTCATCTCCATTGCGAATTGGAAATTCAAATTCTTCGTGAAAATGTCGAAGGCGGAAAATTGAAACTGTATTTATACTTTTATTAGTAATTATGTCTTAAATTATTCTCAATGCCGAATTTACTTGTGCCGAATCGGTAAGGTCGAGAATGACAGCGAAAATGAAAATGCATCGAACGTTAGATCTATTCTTTGAGCTGCTGTGATCGAGATATGTGACCGATATATCACTCGGTCGGTAACATCGGTAACATAGGTTCGAGGTCACGTAGCCGCAAGTGAAAGCCACAAGTTTCTGGAATGTCATGTAATCAAGGTGCAGTATACGCTTGCGTCGTGTTTCCAGTTGTTAATGTGTTTCACGTGATAAAGAAATCGCTCCAAGAATTCGTAATACAACTTGATATAACAAAATATAAAATACCGAATATAACTCTTTCGTCCGTCGAAAAAGATTAATTTAACGATTTAAAAAATAAAATAACGGAATAGAACAGTGTTTACCACTCGATGGGAAAAGATCAACGAAGGATCGAAACTTGTGCGAGTGTAATTAATCATTCGTGAATAATTTTGGTCAATTCGATATTTGTACGATTCTCGATTTTCGTACAGCAGTGATGACTCGTACGAGATGTGGATTATCGAATTTCACTCTTGAAATATTAATTAAACGCGATATCGTTCGTGTTGTTCAAACGGGAACGATCCATCTTGCATTATGTGTTAATTAATCAACTTCGATGACGGATAGTTGGTTGGGAAACGCAAACGATGATTTTCCATTCTTCTTTCGAGACGTTTATTTCCATCGAACGATAGCGCGCTCGAAAACGGAAGAAAATATTTCGTGTATCATCGGAATACTTTCGAAAATTCTTCGATCGAATAGTATCGACAATTAAAATCGAATATTATACGAAAAAGTAAAACCTTCGCGTTTATTTTATAATTAAATACATATCTTTAATTCTAATAAATTACACGATTGATATTAAAAAAAAAACTGTGAACAATTTCTTATCCGAAAATCGCAAGGCAAGACTCAGCCGGTAAGAGAGAAATCAAAAGATCATCCTTGGGACAGGGAGGATCTGGTCCAAGTGCGCAGGAACGGTGCGCCAAGAGAAGGGGAAAGCCACGATCGACGGCCACCTTCGTGGCCACGGCTGGATTGCGCACACGCGTGCAATTTCCCGGGAATCGGGTCTTTCCGGGTCTCCGACACGGTTCTTCCTCGTTCGGCTCACTCGAGTGTCCGACGCGCGACACGGCAACAGGTGACGGGAACAGCTTCGAGATCATCGTAGAATACCATACACTGTCTCTGTGACCACAAACGTGTGTCACGATCCACGTTGTGCTCGAATCGATCGTCGGGTGAACGAAGAGGTTGACTCGATTTTTCATTCGCTCGATTTTTCTCATCGTCCCGATATCTTCGGTTTCGGTTGGACAGGAATCGAGGAGAGGAAGAGAAAAAGAGAGAGAGAGCGAAAGAGAAAAGAAACGGAAGGATTCAACGGGAAAAAATGAGCGTCGAGGACGCCATCAACTATAAGCCTAGCGAGGAGGAGGATTACTATGCTCTGCTGTCGTGCGACGAGTCCTCGACGGTAAGTTTCCCAGCGAAGTTGGTTAATCGAGTAACACTTTTTTCGCGCTCATATACAGTTGGCCGGTCTTTGAATAAATTCGAATAGTCGAATCCATCTGATTATTTCGAATAGTATATTTCTACGTTAAAGTTAATTTTACTTGAAACTTTAATCAATTACTTTTTCTTCCAGGGATTGATTTCTCGATTCTCGTTTTTTTCTTTTTTTCTATGTTCACGTTATTATTATGCGATTTTGTTTAAGTTTCCTAGGGCTTATTGTTTGTTTGGACTCTTTTCTCTTTCTTTGTCAGAGTTCTGGATGATGCAAGTTCTTTTTGATATTGCATTCCGACAACTTGGGATGGAAACTTTTATGAGAAGTTAAAATATTGACCCGTGGATGATCGTGTGTCATTGATTACAAATAGAATCTCGCTTTATTTATTTACCTTCCAATTTTAGAATATGGTGTGATGCAATAATTAGTTTACGTTAACTTTTTCGTTTACGTTCGATTAAATATTTTTTTAATTTCTTAAATTATTCAACGTATTCACCGTATAACGCGTTTTAAATTTTTCGCTCGAGAAAATTTTTCCCAAACAATTTTCCATCCCCGTCCTTGAAACTTTCGACGAAGCCTATCCCGAATCGAAATTTCCGTTTGTTTTTTCGCGAATTTTGCCTCTGTTCTCGCGTGAAATTATTTTTAATATCGATCGAGGTTTAAAGTTTATCGGATCCCATGGTGTTTAACGAGATATTACGTATGCGTTTAACACACTTTCGAAAGTTATGCCGAGTTAATTAGGTTCGCTGTCAGGGGAGACGCGTCAACGGAGAATAATTGCATCACCGTTGAGCACAAGTTCAATTAGCGCTTTGGTCTCCAACTTCTCGATTAATATCAACCGTTCGGATTGTCAATTCGTTTAACAAAAAAAAAAAATGCGACTACGTTTCATCATGCAAAATGAAATCATACCGAATCGAAATAACTATATGTGAAATAGTCTTTTATAAAATTCCTCTTAAATTGTAATCGGCAATTTTACGGATAGCACGAGTATTTATACGATGCATTCTCTTGCCATAGAAGAATTGGCCATCTCGTACGGTGATGAGTATCGAGTAAAAGTGACGGTTGACTCGCCAAGGAATTATGTCAACGTTCAACGATGCTTTCTCTCCCGTGTGCTTTTGCTCTCACTAAAAATAAACAGCGCCGGTTTTAAATAAAACCCAAGGGTTAACGAGCGTTGGCCTGTTTGCCGACGGACCGATCATTATCTCATTAACTCTAACCCCCATTAGGCAAATTTCGTTAAATTGGCCGGCAAATATCCAGTCGTCCAATCGTCTCCGGGAAATCGAAGGGTGAACACCCCCTCCTCGTGCCTTGTTCGATTATCAAACGGGATCTAAAGCAACGTCGTCGGTTCTCCATCCAATTTTCTAGGCTTTGTTAGGTCTTCCGTGCCAGTGTTTCCCAACCTTTCTCCCCTCCCTCCTCAAAAAAGTTGCCAAGTCCTTTGCAACGATCTTCACGGTATAAATAAATAAATAAATAAATAAATCTTAATTACGCTTGACACAGACGGGTCGTTCTTTTTTTTCTGTCTTTCTCGGTTTCCAGGCATTTTTTAAGAGAATTAAATAAACACGTACGTATGATTTTAAAGCGTTGCAGTTTTATTAAGTCAACACTATTTTTGATAAAATTTTACAAAGTTATTTATTTATATTTATCTAGTATCTTATCTTACGAGTGTGATATTTTGTAAAACATATCCAACCTCGTAAAGTGGAACAGAATTGACATATATGTATATCTTGTTTCGCTTCTTTTTCTCGTTGCACACTTTTCAAGGCTTTTAAGGATATTTTTTCTTAATTTACAATTTCACTGTCATCGCAGTTCTCTTAGATTCATTATCACTTTCTACATCGGACAATTCATCCGCATAAATTTCCTTCCACAGAAAACTCTTTCGTACTTGCCACTTTTCACGGTTACAAAATTATTAAAAAGCAAAAATGTTTAATCCGAAGAATTATTGTCTCGTTGGAAAAATGCTGCGTATCGAACGGAATTAGATTTCACTCTGCGATTCTTTTCCTCTTCTCAAAAGCGGTGTTATTACAAAATTTGCCCACCAGGTGGAACAGATCACGGCCGAGTACAAGCTGCTCGCTCTCCAATATCATCCCGACAAGAACGAAGGAGACAAAGAAGCCGAACGAAAGTTCCAACAATTGAAGGTTTGTTTCTCCTTCTCTTTATCTCCTTTCGAAAATCTTTGATACATCGCGCATCTTGCGATTGGATTTCAAATTAAAAAAGTTCCAGTTTTTAATCCTTTGTCCCATCTCCCTATTGCCATGGTAAACAAGATCGGTCACGCCGGTCGAGTCGTGTTGTTTACGTTTCGTTCGAACGAAGTAGCTCGAGTCAACCGCGCGTTGTTTACGTTCGTTCGAACGAAGTACAACGAGTCAGGCTCGTGTTCATTATTGTTTCTGGCCCAAATTTCTTACCACGAGTCTCGCTCGTTGTTGTATAGGAGAATCGATAACATAATACGTAACGTAATACGGTTCTTTTTCTTTTGCAACAGCACGCGAAGGAGGTTCTCTGTGACCCCGAGCAGAGGAGCAAATACGACAAATGGAGGCACAGCGGGATCGCCATCAGTTACAAGCAGTGGCTCGGATTGAAGGACAGCGTGCATCAGGTGAGGAGGGGGGTAGTAATACATTGGAAAAGTTTTTATCCCGGCCTAGCAGTGGCCGATGGAAGAATGGTGCGAGAAAACTCGTTCGAATCTATATTTTTGAAATTCGAAGTTTGAAAGTTTCATTTCATCGATTTATTAACTTTTCCAGATGGAAAAGAAAAAAAAAAAAAGATAAATCTCTCGCACGATTGCTTGCATCCTCGGGGAAACATCCCATCCTCCCTCTTTTTTTTCACGTACACAAATATTTGTACATCCTTCGACCAACTCGAACTCGACTCGACCGTTGGGTCGCTTGCATCGATCGATCGAAACGCGGGAAAACAAATACGTCGAAATCAACCGTTTAACTGCGGGTTAACTTTTAAGCACGAAAAGATATTTTACTTAAAATCATAATATTATCATTTTATAAATTACAAAAAGTATAACAAACATACGAGATAAAAACCAGAAACGTATACATTTCTGCAACGGGTCGTATTATTCCATCTTTTTCACTTATAGCCGTTCATCGTCACAGTGTTCAAAATATTTAAAAAACTATTCGTATTCTTCTATATTTACGCGCCTTTCTCTCGAGGAATTGAATAAGCAGAAGACTTATGTATATATATATATATATATTCAAGAGAACTTAACAAAAGTATATACTTTGAAAGAGACTCGAACAGCGGTCAAAACGAAAACCGAATAGGATAAAAAAATAAATAAATGAAAATAACTAAATATACACGTATATACAAGCCAAAAGCAAAAATTATGTTATTTCTACACCATGCCCGCAGTTAAGTGGTTAAAGTGTCGTCTATGCGAGTCGATCCTCTCTTCCTCCCCTTCCTCCCTCCCTCCCTCCTTTTCTCTCTCTTTCAGAGAAAGAAACTATTTGAACCGAATATCGGTGGCAGTCGATGCACTGGAGCACACCGAAGACGAAGGATCGCATGCTGCAGGACGGTTCCGGAGAGGGCGCCGGTTCACCGGGCCACAAGTCGACCAACGCCCACAGGAGGGCGTCTGAGGGTGGAGCGAACATCTACTACGGGGCCCGCCGGGACCTGGGCTGGGACTCGGAGGCGCCCAGCGAGGTGGTGAACAAGTTTCGCAACTACGAGATCTAGAAAGATCGTCCAAGTGGCGATCTCTCCCCGCCCCCCTCCTAGGCGGCCTCGCCGGAGGAGAGGGGATCTCTGTGCCCACTGTTTTTTCTCCAAGCGTAGTAGAACGAAACGAAGAGGATTTCGTGCGATTTTTATCGGCCGTTAAAATTCCGAAAATTCGGTTTGCCGCCAAAACCGTTTTCTTTCGAGTA